ATGCCAAACTATTATTAGTCTGAGTTATTACTGACCTCTAGGTGCGACTATAGGAGGCAGGGAGAGCGCAGCCCCCAAGTATTTACGGGGAGAAAAGCATGCTACGGGGCCAGAAAAACAGCTCGAGGGGAAGAGGGCGTAAAGTACGACAAAGAGATGTCAGCCTGGCTAAACTTTGGCATTTTTTTCACCAGTGATCACCAAAAAGCTCAGGGCAGTAAAGTTCCTAAAACTAAAAATGAATTCAAGTTAAGCTGACGAAACAATACCAATTAAATCTGGCCTCGAGGGTTTGGAAACACAGTCAGGGTTACCACTTATAAATCAGCACTCCTTAACTCGCAAAGGCAAATCTGACTCTCCTTTGGAAAGGATGAATCACGGGGTCTTACGCAATCCTGGGGTCGCGCCCACCCAGTCAACACAGCTAACGTTTGTTTACTGGGTATCTGTGCTCCAGGGGACAAGGGGACTTCAGAAGCTCCAATTCTAGTGGGAAGAAGCAGATAGCAATATGACATGGACACACAATTGTAACTCAAGGCCAAAGTGTGAAAAGTGTCACAAGATGTTACTAGGTGCTACTGGAGAGAGATGACAAATGGGAAGGCACCAGCGAAGGTTTCACGAAAAAGGCAGCTACCGAAGTGGTCTTTGAAGGACCGAAAATACTTCCACCGGAAGAGGTGAAGACTGGTGAGAAGGGAAGTTGCTCCAGGTAGGAAGAAGAAGAAAGAGGAAGGAGGAGGGAGGAAGGAGGAGGGAGGAGGGAGGAGGGGGAGGAGGAGGAGGAGGAATCTTCAGGGAGTGGGGCATTATCCCATTGGCCAGAGCAAACATGCAAAGAACATAGGACATGAGGCTGGAAAAGCAGGCTGGGGTGATATTCCCAGAGGGGCCCTGAAGGCCACATCAGGAGCTGATAGGTAACTTTTGAAGATCTCTGAGCAAGAAACGGACCAGATCAGAGAAATACTTTAAAAGGGGGAAAACTCATCTAGTATCTTATTGACAAAAGTGGATATAAAACAAGTGAGGATTCTAACAAATAAGAAGCCTGGGTAAAAATGGGAGTTAAACGAGGAAGAATCAAAGGCTAAAGTTTGCGTCCAGATGTCAGAGAGAATGGGGATAATGCCCTTAACAAAGATGGAGAAGTTAGGAGAGACTGGTGTGGGAGAGAGGGAAAATGACCAGGCTGGTTGGGAAATCCTATTGGGATCTTAGATCATTTTAACACCAAAAACAAGTAGAGAATAGTGACAATGAGTCATCTTGCTCTAGTCCACTTGGATAAAAACATGTAAGGCCACAGGGCTTTTGCATATGCTGGTTCCCCCACCTAGAGGTTTATGCTCTGCCCCTACAGGGTTAATGCAGCTCAGAAAACACTTCAGAGAATCCTTCCTTGACCCTCCGAGATGGGATCAGCCCATCATACGCTTTCACTGAACAGTGTTCCTCTCTGCCATAGCTTTTATCTCAGCTATAACTATACATTTATTTTTGTGATTACTTGATTAATGTTGTCTCTCCATCACTAAGCTGTGAGCTCCTAAAAGGTCCCCCTTCTGCCTATGCAGCAGGTCTGGATGAAATCTGTGGAAGAGAGGACAGGAGGGAGGTGACTATCTAGACTGTACTGAGCAGATGGGGGTCTGGGGGAGATCTGAAAGCACATCCCACAAGACAGGGCTGAAGCAATGGACCTACGCAGTCAGAAGAGATGCCTCGTGGAGAGATGGTGGTCCCCAGTATCTGCAGAGCTGTCATGAGGATGATGGATTCGCAGCTCCCTGTGTCGTCTCCAGGGGTAGGAAAGAACCAGGATTGATGGGTGAAAGTTCCAGGGAGACAGATCTCTGCTCAAGGGCTGGAAGAGCTTTCACGCAGCCAGGGAAAACAGACTGCTCAGGGAGGCAGCAAGTCCCTGTCACTAAGACAGGCTGGGTCAGAGGCAGAGAGCCTCGTGGTGAGGCTGTCGTAGGAGACTTGAGCCACAGGTGAGCATTTATATACTAGAGGTGCTTTGAGGTCCCTTGAGCCCCTACTGAACTCTGCTGGCTGTCAAACTCTTAGGAGGCACTCTTCCAGTTTGCATGCGAATCCCTCCAGCTCCCTCTTTGCGCCGGGAGCATGCTGTCCCCCTCATCCCCTCTACCTGCAACAGCCCACTCTCACTGCCCGCTCCACCCTGTGGGCTTATTCCTTCCTGCACATGCTCCAGCTGTCAGTGTATCTGCCTCGCCCAAAGGAAGCCTCTCCTTCCTGATTCTGGTCACTCCACACAGCTGCCTAGGACGCACTGCTCTGCCTTCACAGTACTGAGGACTTAGCACAAACTTAACTCCAGTGTTTACTGTTCCTTTCACATTTCCAACATATCAGTAGGCCTCCCAAAGCGGGGAAGATGAGCATTCTCATTCTCGGAGCATGCCCAGCATCCAGCACAAAGCCTGACACACTTCTTGCTCAAAAACAGCCAGGAATAGCCATCCGACCGCCCTACCCAAATATTATTTCGATTGGTATTTCTCAGAGAATGACACTTGCAAAACCTTTACCACCTTGTCTGCCCCCCCCCGGACATACTGGCTTGTCACCATTTCTTTAAGTGCCTCAGCCTGATGCTGTTCAAGTGTGGTCTGCAGACCCTTGCTGCTGTCCGCGGTGAGGGGAGCTCACTCCTCAAGAGTCAGTGTCAAGAAACTTGACACAGCAGCTTAACGGAGTCAGTCCACGAAGGCTGACTCTTGTAAAAAACAAAAAATTGGGACTTGCATTTTGTATCTGTCTTCCCCTATTCATCTGTGTTGTATGTAACAAGAGTATCAATCTTTGCCATATTGGGAAAAAACTAGTCTGTCATCATAGACACTTGAGAAGCCCTGCCTCAGGCAGCATCACTTCACTAACGGGTGAGAACCGCGAGTCCTCTCAAACTGATTAACAGATTAACACGCGGCCTGAGACTGTGTAGCCCAGACCCTGGCGACAGTGGGGAAGTTCATTTTACCCTCTGATGTTAATTAATTCCTCACATAATGGGGCTCACCTCAACTTTGAAAGAGAATCCTAAAAAGAGAAATCCAGAAAGAGAACTTCTCCCCCAAGGGGAGAAAAGCACCTCATAGGGGAGTCTCACAACTCTGCCTCTGTGCCCACTGTCCTCGTCCCTTGGCACATCGTATCCTGGTTTATGCAGCTGTGAACGCAAATCCAAGGGGCTCACAAGCCAAGGACATGAATATCTTAGCTCTAATAAGCATGACACCAGCACTGTCATTCACTGGTTTCAAGTTTGTGGCTAATCGCGTTGTTAACATACACAACATATACAAACACACGGACAAATGAAAACATAAGGAACTGGGTCTGCGGTCACTGTCCCTCGAGACCAGCACTGCAGCTCATCCCTCCGCCCGTCTCCCCACATCTGCCCACATCCCACATTCAAGGTGGAGTCTTGCAGGCTGGACACGCCCCACACCTGACGCTAGAGACTGGCTTTCCCTAATGGTCAGTTGAACTTGGCCTGACTTGCCTATTATTTCCCCCGAAGATTCATCAGTTACTATTAATTATTGCCTCCTGTCACAACATTTCTTGTTTGCCCTGTATCCACTCACCAGTCAGTGGAACACACAACAGCTACACTGCCAGCAACCACATATAAGACAAACCCCGAAGTGCCCTGGGACATCCCGGACTGGACGTGGGGGGCACGCCCAGGAAAACACACGAGACAACAGTTCATGGGAATTTAATCAGAAGAGATCCACTGGGTAAGTAAGCTTTGCGACACTCCCCAATCCTGCTCTTCCCTGGGCCTATGTGTCACCTTAAATCCTTTCTAGCGTAGACAGATGCCTCATTTCATCATGAATCAAATTATGGTAAAATAGACATTATAATGCATGAAAAGTGGAGCGATGGGCGTCTGCTTTCCTAAAAGCAGATGATGGGGTAAAGAATTCCATTTTTCCTCATGCTACTGGCTTATTTGAAACAAGCCTCCAATCAGAAACCACATGAGGATGACCGAGCAGTTGGGTGGACACTCAAAAAAATGCAATAATGCAATATGCCACAGATATACAAATAAAAGCTGAAAGCAACCACACAAAGGAAGAGGATATAACAAAATAAATGGAAGGCCTATGACATACACCTCTATTTAGAAAAATCACAATTGGAAAAGGCTTTCTGCCATCTTTGCTGGGAAGACAGACCCTCGTATTTCAATTTTGCTTTATACAAAAATTAAGAAATTTACGAATTCTTTGAAAGTACGTTTCTAATTACTACCATTATGGAAAGCAAGTGATTTTAAGCAACCCTGGAAGATTAACTGACAAGGTTTTTCAAATTCTGGATGCTCTTTCGCCCTTGAACATATCTTCTTGCTTCCCCACACAGCCGTTTTGCATTTTGTAATTCTGGACCTCTCGGAGTAAGGCACTCATCAAAACTTGACTTGAGGATGAACCTCAGCTGCTGGCATCCAACAGGGCCTGCCCTTCACACAGGTCTCATTCCCACCGAAAGAAGGCAAAGGTGGCACTGAGCTGGGTAAAGAGACAACACATTTCCAATTTCTGAGATTTCCAGAGTCTGTGACAGCTTACTGCCCACCACACAGTCCTGGTGAAAATCTCCAGCGGCCACCCTCTAGCCAAATGGCAGAGCAGAGCAGCCTTCTGAAGAAGGGTCAGGCAAGGAGGGCCAACCACCCCCGGTTCTTGCCGCCCTCCTCATCCCTGTCTCCAACAGCTTCTCTCCGGAAATAACTAAACGCATGAAATCACCCACAGGGAGAAGACAGAGGCGTGACACCTACAGGGTGCCTATTTATAGAGAGTGTTAACACTCCTCAGGAAAAGACACCAGAAATCTCCTTGGAAACCCCGAGCCTGTGCTCCCTGTGGAATTCGAGTCTGCTAACACCCATGACTAAGAAACTGCCTTTAAAACAAAACCGAAGGGTTAGAGGTACTTACGGTTTCCCCCCAGGGATTCCTGCCAGGTTTGGAGGGATCGTAGGTACTCTCATGTGAGGAGGAGGATCAAACCCGACCTGGGAACAAAAGAAGGCATCGCAGACTCCAGGGACGCAGAGCAGGCCCCTTGTGAACATCTCTAAAGACTTTTCCCTGGAAACTCACAGATCCCCAAAGCAACAGAAACAGAAACAGAAACAGTAACATGTGCTGGCATTTTTCAGACTGAAAACTTATAATACAAGAAGCAACAGAACCACCTCTAAACATACTTCTTGCCATGGGCGGAGGGATGGAGTGTGAGCTCTGGCACTGAGGACCCGCTGCCCACGCGAATAGTCCCCTGCACTCAGCATGTTCTGCCTCGCCCGAACAGGTACAGGGCGTACACTGTCGGACTCAGGATTTCTCAACCCTGGCACCATCCATGCTTCGGGCGGACAGGTCTTTGGGGGAGGGGCTGTCCTGGGCCTGGTGGGGTGTTTAGCAGCATTCCTGGCCTCCACCCTTAATAGCATCCCCTAGTTGTGAAAAAGTGTCTCCAGCTATCCCCAAATGTCCCTAGGGAGCAAATTTGCCCCCAGTTTCATCCCACTGGTCTAAGTGAATGCTCAAGGCTTCACACTGAGTTTGAGCACCCTGCTGACGGCATCCAGGCCCTCAGCTGCCCACTTTGCTGTCAACAGTCTTGCCCTCCACTGCACAGCCTTTCTAACCAGTGCAACATAAGGGAAAACAACGAACTGTAGTATCCCCCCAAGTGATTGGAGGTAATGCTATTTGAAACTGGGAGAGGACAGAAATGCACGTGAAATACTGCAAACAGCGGAGAGAAATGACTGGGGGACTCTCCTTTGCTATGGGTTATGAGTCCTGTCAATTTTACCCTTCCCGTGCAGTTTCATATCTTCCCCGTCAAAAATGAGGCCATTTCCACAGTGACGGAAGGCAAGGTGAGAAAAGGAGCCCCTGCCCCAAGGTTTCAGCTCCTCTGTGTTCCTGCCTCCTGCACAGAGACCACTTCTCACACCTAAGCCATGCTGCTGGGTTTAAGGAATGCTACAGGCACGGAAAGAAAACTACAGCTCCTCGAATATGTTTTCCTAAGAATTAAGCAGAATAAAAGGAAACGAATGAAAAAGCTCCTGTGAGCTCCTTGAGTCATTCCATCGCCTCCCCGCACCAAAAAAAATCTGCTTTGGTGGGAGAAAACCAGATGTCCCCCGACCCGCTGAGGTAGCTCCCAAACACTGCCTTTTTTCATCCACACAAACAGTAAAACAAAAAGCGACTGGCCCCGACTTAATGTGGCGGCATGTGGATGAAGGCAGCGGCCAGGGACACCGGGTCGTTGCTCCAAGGCGTGGGGGCTGCCCCCCACCCGCGCCCCGCATCCCCAGCCCGCATCCCTACCATCGGGGAGCGCCCATAGGCCACCACGGCGGCGGCGGCAGCGGCCGCGCTCATCTGCGGGGACATGTTGTGGAGGCTGGCGTAGGCGGCGCCGGGGCTGGTCAGCTCGCCGTTCATGCCGGCGTGGGGCACCATCCCGAAGGGCGCGGGGTACGGGCCGGGCACCGCCAGGGGCGTCCTCAGGCCGGCCGCTGCAAGGAAGCACAAGCCGCACGTGACTCGACTGGCCGCTCAGGTCCACTCTGACCGGCGGTTCCAGGGTCATCTTTAGTGCCCTTCTTTAGGGGGGAAGGAGAAAGAGGGGAGGGCTTGGGGGATGGGGGTGGGATCACCTCCAATTCACACAGAGGGTCGCTTCTTCCTCATAGCAGAATTCACCTCCATTGGGGAAAGAACAGACCCCAGGGGAGCACTGCCCACACGCTTTCTCCTTGTACACTTGGCGGCCAGGGAAAGCAGGCAGACGCAGGAGCATCACTGTGAGCGACTCACAGAAGGCAAACCAAGGCATAGACACCACCTGCTTACTTTGACAACTTCATAAGCAAGTTTTCTTGATAAAATCCAAGATTCCTCCCTCAGTCTGGACGTTCCATTCCCTGGTACCAATTCCAAATGAAAACCCGAGTGTGGGTTTACTAAAACTAAAGCTCGGGTTTAGGAGGAATATGCTGGGGCCGATTTTCCTCCGGGCCCAGGGAGTTACTTTTTTCCTTTCCCAGGGAGGAAGGTTAAGTGAAACGGTGCGAGTTTATTCACGGGCTGGAGTCTCAGGGAAACCCTCCCAGTTTCTCCTGAAGGAGAGACCCGCAGTTCCTGAGGGATGCGCTGGCAGAAACCCGGCCAACTCAAGGAGGCAAAAGGCTCACTCGTCCGGCCAGACCAGCCAGGTCAGCCAACATTAGTGAACCCAGGCACACAACAATAGTTTGGTAAGGAGCTTACATGCGGAATAATTATCAGAAACTTTATTGAAGTCCCTAGGATTTGGATTATTTGGAAATAAAAGAAAAGCCAAATGTAAATAGTTGGAGACCAAACAGGGTGCAGCTGCCGAAACCCAAGGACAAACATCTGTTTCTTATCATGGCTGCTCGGAGACAGGAAGGAGGGAGACAGGCAGTAAGTGCATTTCGTATTCACGGGGAAACTGCACCACGAGATGAACAGGCGACGAATCAGGCTGGGAAAGGGAAAAACAAAAAGCACAGCAAGAGGCGATGCTCTACCCGCTTGGTTAACGAGGGGGTCCATGGCTGGAGGCTTGCCGAGGCCTGGACGGAGTCCTGGAGTGGCGCTGGTGCCCGGCGTTGGCATGTCGCTCCGAGGCGTCGGTGTGCTGGATTTCAGAACAGGCGTGCTGGCTTTTTCATGCTGGTATCATTAAACAAATTAAATGAGTATTATTTTTAATCCAAGCCATATTACACAATTTATCACAACAGCAGCTGGGACACTGGGCACCTTCTAGCTACTCCCTCAGCCAATTTCCATAAATCCACACAATGTTGACAGCATTAACTTGCGAGCGAGAAATGTTGACCTTTCCTCTTCCTGCCAGAATTAAAACTCGAGCTAGAGACACAGAACATGATCACACTTCTTCCTCCGCAGATTTTATTTTAAAAAGTATTTTTCCATCAGGCTTGTGGACTTTGGATCCAGGCCAAGTTAGGATGATGACCACCCGGAGAAAAGTTCCTGGTCATCAGAAACAAATGTCCCGGGTACCAAGAATGCCAGAGGGAGGCTGCCTTTTCTCATCTTGCCTTTTAGTGGCAGTGGGACTGAGATGCACGGTGAGACAGCTGGGCCATCGATCTGATGAGAAGCAAACCAGCAGCTCAGAGGCCAAAGCCTAAACTAGTCCTATCATTTTGTGAGATGTGCCTGAAAAAAGAACCCTTTGGAGTTAAGTGTCACCACCCACCTGCCTCCATAACCAGTGAGGACCCACTAGTGCAGGGGCCTTCAGGGGTCGAGACAAGGACAGGCTTACGGGGCACCTTCTTCTGCCTCTCGACCTTGCCTGGCCTAGAATCACAGTCAGAAGCGCTGCGGTGTAGCAGAGAGCATGGGCTGGAGAGACCCCAGCTCCTCTGGCCTTGGATCTGACAGGCCATGGAAACATGGCAAGAACCTTAAGCTTTCCTCGCCATCAGTGAAATGGGATAATGCCTGGGGACTGTGTAAGGACTAACTTATTGGAGTTAAGAGCTGACACATTCTACAGTGTTTGCTGAATGACTGAAAGGATGAACAGGTTCTGAGTCACCCCCCCTCCCTCTACCAGTTCCAGGTTTCCTGGGTGCTGCCTCCAGTAGGTCACCATTCTGACCAGCAACCCAATCACAATCAGCCCCGACAGGAGGGGTCTGCCTAAAGCCAGGTGAAATGGACGCTTAAGACAATGAGGACTTCTCAGGACTTAAGAGGTTTGAACTGTGTGCCAAATGGGAAGTTCAGAGAGCCTGAGCCAGGAACACATCCCCCAAGTGAGAGGCAACAGACACAGAGGCTTGTTCTCTAATCACAGCCTCAAACAGACGACGGAGGGGGAAAAGTAAACACAGCGTGGGGACAAAGAGCAGAAGGATGAGTTTCACTTTGAAATATTTAAAAATACAACTCTCAATCAGTAAAACCCCCACGTCGCAGATATGTTAGGGTCCTGTGGTCCACAAAGGAAAAGAAATACTGCTCAATAGGCAAGTGACAGTTCTTACCACCTACCAAGCTCATTTCTTTGGATTTCAAGGAAGTGGAGCTCCCCGAGGAGGCCGTGGACGCCGGGCTGCTGGAAGCATCCTTCTTTAGCAGGCGGTTTTTGTCGATTCCGTTTTCCCGGGGTGAGTGGGCGGGGCTTGCTCGCGGAGAAGAAGGGTCCTTAACAAGCATAAGCAAAGTTTTCAGGATTCCGCTTACAGTGCATAGACACTCTACTTCCACACTCATTCTCTAAATTAAAGGAGCATGCTGAAAGCCTTTTAGATTTGGGGGGCTTGGGGTATACACCCTCACAACACTGTTAGAATGAACAGGATGGTGTTTGCAAACACACCCACGAAGACACCATAAAGAAAAAACCTACAAGTAATCAGATCCCTTCTCATGCTCAAATACTTTGCTTAGAGGGCACACTGGAGAGGACAGGACTAGGGGAACAGATTGGTTTTAAACGAAATAGAAGTTCGAGTCAGGCCATTATTGCTCCGTCCATGAACAACCATTAGGCTCTAAACATACGAAGTCGTAAGAACCCACAACACCATGGCTCCACTTCCTTTCTCGCACAAACTACTCTAAAAATAAAGTTTGATGGTTACCTCATTAGACACATCCACAACTAAGTTGTCATCGCTTTTGTCACCATCGCTGTCCTAGAGAAAAAAAATTTTAACGCCGTTTATTAAAGGGTTTGAGGCCCAGTTCAATCTTTTTCTCTAGTTCTTGGTAGCAGACAGGGCAAAAATATGACCTGGGATGGCCTGTGGGCTCCCTTCCAGACTGCCTGGCCCCTTCTCATCTGCCTTGGGGCCATGCAAAGCCTGGGGCAGGAATGCTGCTGCAGTAACATATCAGCTATACAACCCCAACTTGCGTACAGGTGACGTCAAGTTGCAAAACCCTTGGCACGTAGTAAGGACAAGTCGGCAACAGCGCTATCTCTCTTACAATCTGAAGTCCATAAGTACTTCGAGCAGAGCTCTTTTCCCGCTGGATTTCAAACCAAGTACATAATTTCATGTCACTGCTCTTATGTGTATCACCCTGAAGACAGACAACAAATCTAGTGTTCATAGATAATTCGTAATTATAGAGACAAACTTAAACCATGTTCCCAGGGGGCTGCTAATTACTGCAAAAAATAAAACAGAACAAACAAAAAACTAAACAACAAAGCTAGCTATTGGCTGGAATAAGGTACCAAGGTCTACCCTCACGTTAAGCATAAAGCTCTTCGGCGATCAGCTCGGAATCTTTGGGACAGAGAAACGGAAGACAGGATGGAACCTCTGGAGGGCTCCAGCATCCTGCATCACGGCTTTTACTGTCGCTTCATAAAGCCATAAAATTTGCTAATCAGAGACTCTCTAAAGTTGCATTGAGTTTGAAAAAGGTTCAGAAAAGCTGTTCAATTTAATAATGTCATCAGCCTGCATCCGGTTCAGGGCAGACTGAAAATGTCTAATTTCTCAGCCAAAAGGCCTAGTGTCTTTCAGTGCAGAGTAATACAATGGGCAGGTGGAAAAAGCAGGACAACCCGATGGGCCCGAATTCTCCAAAACAAGCAGGCCCCTAGTTTATGATCTAAACAATCCTTTTCCTGATGTTGTTGTCAAATTACGAATATACATGTGATGTTTGAGAAATATTAGCACAAATGCAAATATTCCTGCTTGGCTTTCCGTGGTCCCCAAGTCCAGCTAGAAAGCTACTCTCAACTTTAAATTCATGTCATGAACGTGTTTTCTAACCATACGAGAGCATTACACGTCGGAGACACAAATTTCTTTCTTCAGTAATGTGTTACTACATGTACTTTTGTCACTGTTATAAAGGCACCATGTAATTCACTAGTAACAGCATAAAATTACAACCAATGAGGAAGCCTGGGTAATTTAAAATACTCTATTCAAAGAAATATTTTCATGCAATAAAAAAAATTAATACTAAAGAAAATTTGTTTTCTCTTAGTAAAGCCCATAGAAAAGCATAAATGTTTCCTCCAGGTGTTAGGAACTCAAGGGTGGTGTTGGTGAAATAAATATAAGCTAAAAGGGTTTCTCTGTCAGAAAAAAAAAAAAAAATTTAATGGTTAATGTAGTGTATTAACCAAACTGGCAAAATGTAGCAAATTTGTTTATTACAATGGAACTATGAAGTGAGTCCTTAAGTATTCTGCAATTTAAATCTTAGCTTAGTAATGGACTCTCCTGCAAATACAAACCCTCAGAGTAGACACCTGTCGTCAAAGATCTAAGGTCTGAGACCTTTGTCCCAGATTCTCCAACATCGTCTCATATTAGGTCCCCCCCTTTTTTGCTTTTCCCCGAGGAAGATTGGTCCTGGGGTAACATCTGTGCCAGTCTTCCTCTATTTTGTATGTGGGTCACCACCACAGCATGACCACCAACGAGCAGTATATATCTGCACCCGGGAACTTTCAACCACCTTTACCACTAGACGTACCTCGTACAAGCGGGTTACAAAACAGTCACGCAGAGCTATGGAGTATCATCTCTCACCAGTAAGTAACGTATGCCCACGAGCCTCATGCAGAACAACTCGGGATTGTATTATCGGCAAATGTCCAAATTTCTGCATGTCATGACCTTCTGACCAGCTTATTAACAGCTGACACCATCCACACATAACTGTACCTACATGGGAAGTTGGCTCTGGGCAAAAGATAAGAGGCAAATGTCATGTGCTAAAAAGGCTTGGGCAGGGGTGGGGAGAACCAACAAGTGGGGTTCTCAGGATGTTATTACAGTGCAAAGCGTGGATCAATTTGAGGACCTCTGGCAAAATATCCAGTCCTGGGCCCTTGGCTGGGGAATCCGAGCATGGTGATTAAGAGCGTGGATTCTGCAGTTAGAGTGACACCAGGCTCTGCCATGGACTCTGACTGTGGGTGCATCACTTAGAAGCTCTGTGCTTCAGTTTCTTTATGTATAAATCGGAGGTGATGGTACCAAACTCACAGGGTTGTTTTAAGAGTTACATGAAATAATCCATGTAAAAGCACACAGTACCCGGGACTAATCTGAGTGGCTGCTCAACAAGTGTCACCACTGTTAGCTGCAGGCCTAAGCCAGCCAGCAGGAGGCACAGAGGCCTGTGTTTAAACCTCCACACAGCCTGTACACCAGCCAGCCAGAGGCAGACACTTCTTCCAGGAGCAACAGGAAGTGGCCTAACTCAGCATTCTACTCTCATACTGTTCCTCAGAAGGCATCTATCCTGAAATAGACACTCGGGGACACACAAGGAAACCCCAAGTCATCTGTCAGCTGCAATGTTTACGACCCTGAGACCACAGCCAATGGCCACTTGGCTTGGTTTGCACTCCTCGTGAATGTGGTTTTAGCTAGAGCTGAGTCAAGAGTCCTCACTCCATCCACCAGTCGTGTGATCTCATCTGCAGGGTTTAAACCAGATGCCTCCAGCGTTTCTTCCATTTTTACCACAGACTCACAACACTAAATTGCTCTCTATGGAAGAGGATGTACTCTGCTTTAAGAGCTAATACAAGGGGCTGGCCCCTTGGCCTAGTGGTTAAGTTTGGTGCTCTCCACTTCAGCAGCCCGGGTTGGGTTCCCGGGTGCAGATATATACTGCTCGTTGGTGGTCATGCTGTGGCGGCGACCCACATACAAAATAGAGGAAGATTGGCACAGATGTTACCCCAGGACCAATCTTCCTCAGGGAAAAATAAAACAGGGGGGGACCTAACATGAATTTGAATATATTATCACAATAGCATCCAAAAAGATATTTTGTGACACCTTATTCTTATCCTGATTATTTTAGCAAGACAGGCTACCACACTGGCAAGGCCTGGGACAAAATGAAAATGTAGGCCCTTGTTCAAAAATTGAGAATGTGAACATGGCTGAGAGCAAACCATTAAATCAAGGGTGAGGGGGGTCTTTTTAAGAGCAGGACCTGTGCAAATGTACAAGGTGTGCACCCACAAAGCCAACCCTGCATTTTTGTACCCCTCTTATGAATAAGTAAGCCAGAAAGCCAAAAATTTAATACCGAGCCTGGCAAAAGCATAATTTACAGCTAGAGGGAAATAATATCCTACAATGTAAGAATGTATCCTTTTTATAGTATTCTTTTAAAGGATGTGGAATTATCACTAAGATCTCAGAGTACACTTGTATACTCACTCAGAAGGTGAGAAGTAAGCAAGCAAATACTATTTCAAGTCCTTTATTTACTTACATAGTGGCTGGAGTCCTTATCATCCACCTTTCTTTTTTTGATGTCGTTGGAAAATTCAGGCCCATTTCTGCGTTTATCTGTGCCTCTTAGACTGTCTGGGACCAAGAGGGAATTACTCTGCAAGACAAAAAAAAGATTAATCAAAGATTTCTTCCCAAGTCTCTCTGTACACATGAAAACCGAACCTGGGTGTGATAGCTGTTTTAGTAAGGTGATACCTACACAGCCTTTCATTCCATTTAATTCGCCCCGTCTGAAGACTTTGATGGCAAACATTTAGAGAGGTTTAAGCACTTAAAAGGGAGACCCTCACTATGCAATCAAACCGTCCAAAGCCTGGTGGATCCTTCAGGCTCTACTCACTTTCAATCATTCAGCTGTTCTATTTACTGTTAGAGAAATGGTAGCTTGCTGTTTATATGGGGATGTGTTTTCATCCTTTCCCACTGCGCCTTCCTGGTCAGGAATGGAATGGCCTATGAGCAAACCCGAGAGCACTCTATTGGACGTAGTCTGTGACTGTAAGAGTCAGCGTGTGCCACTCTAAAAAGACACGAAGTCAGCAGGTGGGATTAACTTTTCCGAAAAGGAAAATCACATTTTCCACCCCGACAATGAAGGAACTCTTTTGAATTCTTTTAATTTATTGTTGAAAATAAGATTTGGGGTTCCTCGCCAACAGCACTGAAATTTAAGACCCAAAGTGGGAATTTCAGCCAGTGAATCTTCAACAGCCAGGCCAGTTCCCACACACAAAAGCAGGAACAAGGACTAATCTTCTCCAAACCACACAGGATACTTTCATTTGCCTGTGCTGAGTACGAACTGTTGACCCAAAGAAAACAGGCATTTTAGATATGTGAGGGTCACATGACATGATCTGACATCCCTTCTTTCCCATCTCCCCTCGGGCTGTTCAGCCCGTGTTACAGTGAGTTCTTTTAAGTGCGGGATTAGCATATGCAAGGGGGCAATTTGTTCAGTGATGTGTTACTGCCTTGAACAATGCTGAATGAGCCGTGCATGGACCTTTCACAAAGCCCAGATAACCCCAATTTCTGAATGATGCTGGAGAACTGAGAGGGGAGCATCCAGAGCCAGGAGACAATGTTACCTTTCCCTGCCACAATTTAAAAAGGAAAGGGCTGGGGGAAACGTTCAAGTTAGACCACCTCTAATGCAACGGTATGTATCAGGAGCCAATCTTTTATGGCACATTTTGAAACGCGTTGGGTCTCCCTTCCCAACCAGCCTAAGGTCATCAGCCAGGTGGCCGGCTCTCGAAGCTGCCCCGTGAAAACCAGGGACCCCACCATGGGAGCGTTCCCAGCTCAAGCACACGCAGGAGGAAATCAAAACTGGGGACCAGAGGGTAATCCGAAGCCTCTTTGCCCACTTCAGGGACTGACCGAAGCGAGCTGAGCTTTTCATTCATGACCATTCGAGCTACACAAATGCCAGGAGGCCTCCACAAAGGCAGGGCAGAGGACCAACGCAATCCAATAGAGACGCTCAGAGTGATGTCTTTAGCGCAGCGTGTGGGGCTGAAAGGTGAGCTGGCTGGATCCCTGAACTAATTACCTCGGTAAATGTCTGCTAAAAACTAACCCCTCTGACCCAGACACACTGCGAGACAGGACGCAGGAGACTTAACAAAACTCCTGCAAAGTGCTAACAGCCCCTCGGAAAAGCTGAGCCGGAGGGGAGAGCAGCTGTGCTCAAGTGTAAAAAGTGTCCATGCACACTGGTCTGTGTTACAGATTCTATCAGCTCCACGTCTCCTCCTCCAGACTCGGAGCAGATGCCTTAAGGGCAGGGCCAAGGTGGGCTGTATGGGACTCAGCTTGACATCCGCCCATGTGCCCAGCAGAAGGAATGTGGCGAACAGTCAGGGTCCACTGGCAATTGTAAAGTTAAAGTCTGTCTCCACATAGTCATCTTCGCACCTCCTGGACATCCAGACCACTCAGCCATCAAAGACAGCTTCCCAATGATCTTACTTTGCTAATTATGTCAAGTAATACTATGAACATAAAAGTAAACCAAGCCATTTCTATTAGAAACAATAATATTTCCACGGCTGGACCTGTAAGCCTGTCAAGCTTTCAGGCCTCCGCACCGAGGTGACAGGAGTCACCACTGTGATTCCCACCCAAGCAGCTTAAATGACGCCTGTAATCTGCATGGGTTTTGAAAAGCTTGGAAAGTCCCTCTAAATTGGACAGGGCTAGTAATCAGCACCTCTGCCTATCTGAAAACTGGCCCCATTCAAATGGCAGGCTTAAGACATGTTATGAACAAAACGTCTCATCGTACCTTTGATGCTGTGAAACGAATTCAAAACAAGGCAGCAAAGAGTGTGGGGCTGGAAGGGCCTCGGAGAGTCTCCACCAGGAGCCAGGTGGTTGCTGGCTCAAGCTGCAGCCTGCCCCACCTAAAATGGACTGCTTCGTCTTACCCTCTTCCCATGGACCCAGTTTTCTGTGTTCAGTGGCCTCCAACATCTTCCAGCCCAGACACTGCTTTCCTTGTTGTTCTTAAGCAGAGTCGCAACCTAATGAACTTCACCATTGGCAACAACCACCATTTTGGTTAATTACTGCCCAGGTGACCCTAATCTTTGTGGTTCCCTCATGTGCTCCCCAGAAACCCAGAAGTGACTTCACAGGTAGTACTGGATATCTGACGGTCCCAGAAGTCTTTCCCTTCGTGCTGTGTGTTTTCCTCACAACCAATTTATATCCCTCATGGCGCAGGGGTGGAATACGTTCATTTTGATGGTCATTATGAGCCATTTTATACATATTTTAAGAATGAAGAGAGGTACTGACTGAATATCCTTTGGATCCTTCAAAATTTAGGATTCTATCTTGATTTGTTAGATTTGGACCAGGATAAGATAGAATCACATCTAACATTAACATTTAAGAAGGTGCCATTGGCAAAAGAATGAAACTGAGGTTGCTTGGCTTTAAGTTATTGAAAAAAGTCATGCATTCTAAACACAGAAGATAATTAGAACCAAATCTCTGAAGAGGCCAAAGTGACTCTAAAAGCCACTGTTCATCCTCCTCATCCCCCTCATTTTATCTGGAGGATGTCCAGAGAGGGGAGGCGATGTGCCCAGAGTCAAGAAGCTCTTCCGATTAAGTCAAAGTGCCTCCACTCCCAGAAGAGTGGTTTTTAAACTCAGTCCATGTACACTGAAGACTTGTCCCCAAATACTTGGCCCCCAAATACTTGTCACTTAAAAGTCATACTGGCCCCTACTGAGCTTGACATTCTAATGTGACATCATAATGCCTGATGTTTTCTCTGATCCCCCCAACCACAGTCACACACACACCTTGATTTACTTGGCTCTATGCCCATCATTCCAAAATCATGAACATTAAAAAAAAAAAAATTTTTACAGCCTACCTTAAAATGACCTGAAAACAGTCCCAAATTCCTACCTTTCCAGTCATGAATTCTGCCATTCATCCTCCAAGAGTCACACTAAAAAAGAGCTCAGCAGAGAAAAACAAAGCAGACCAGCTGCCTACAGCATTGGTTTCCTGTGATGTCAATCACCGTGGACAGAAGCCACCAGACTTCTCTTCCCCTAGTCCATATTCTGAAAGATCTTAATCTACCAAACAGCATTCATCAAAGAAAATTCATTTTTCAAATATTTATTTGCCAAATAAATATTCAATCGTGAATCAGAGTTCTTTGATCAGCCAGAGAACGAGTGTTAGCCCACTGACTGATACACTCTAAGTCTACCCAAGAAAAGTGATGTTTTATTTCACCTTGCAGCTGGTAAAATTTAACTATCCGCCAGAATTTTTCAAACCATAATTATTATGCAGACTTCTATTACAAGTGTCCTGAGGACTGGGATTTCCAGACCGTACATAAGTTTTCCTTTGTTTCAAAGTTTTCTTAAGAACTAAACAGGGGCCCGCCCGGTGGCATAGTGGTTAAGTTTGTGCACTCCACTTTGGTGGCCCAAGGTTTGCAGGTTCAGATGTCAGGCGTGGACTTACGCGCTGCACTGCTCGTCAAGCCATGCTGTAGCGGTGTGCCATATACAAAATAGAGGAAGAATGGCACAGATATCAGCTTAGGGCCAATCTTCCTCACACACACACCCACACATACAAAACCTAAACAAAATCCTCTTATTTGTGTCTTCTACAAGAACTCAAAACAGGAGCTTTATATAGCCCACAGCAGATATTATAAACCTGAGCAAATCAAAACACACTACGTTTTCAAAACAAGACTAAAATTCTAAAACCACAATGATTTTCCACACTTAGGTGTTGCACATGCTTATAGATACAGAACCAAGTAAAACAATAAAGGGAAAGACATACCTAACCAGTCTCTAAGGAAAAGAAGATGCCCCGGAACATTCAGTGTGAAAGACAGAGTGTCTGAAAGACCTGTTAACCCAACCAACACGCCTTCCTCTCCATTTATACGTAGAGACAACACATGGAATGTCCGGATGCGGTGTGAGAACATGCTCCACAAGAAGGGGCCTTTTCCTCTTCAGAAAATCCAGGTTCCTTTGAGAACATAAAATCTCAGTGGGCATCTGCACTGACAACAAGTGAATTGTTCGCCATGATTAATATATGCTTCTTGAAGGTCACTTCTCCTTGCACTATCAGTGATGTCATGGTTAACACCCTTACGAGAGGGAGCCAAGGAGCTGGTCAGAAGAGAAAAGAAAAGGTAGATCTTCCAATATCATAACCAGCATGTGCTCCGTGAGCTGTCAAATCCAGAGCAGTTTCCTATGTGGCTGAACCACGTTTTATAAAACCATTCCCTGCTGTAGTTTGATGGGTGCAAGTTAACTGGCAAGTTGGCAGTGTTTGAACCTATATTCTCTATAAGTAGAAATAAACTTCCCAATGCAATTATTAAACCATACCTTCATGTAAGAGCTTACCATGCAAGTGAAAGAGCCTGTTGAAGCTCAGAGAGTACTCAGTCAAATCAAAAGAAAACGTCCAGATTTGGACTCTGTATTACCTTTCTTCCAGCCATTCTGGACAATCATGTTTCTTTTCATGCTCTGAATACCCACTCAGGATTGATACAGAGACCCAGCAGCTTCA